TCGATGGCGGGACAGGGGGGCAGCAGCCCGTTGATGGCGCCAAATTAAGTTGTAAATGAAGTTTTTGGCGTCGCTTCGATTGCAACCACCATCAGGAAGGCAGCAGGCGTCAAAAAATGTGGTTGGTTTCATACTCCATGCCAAATGCACCACCGGTGGTTGGACTTGCATGTGACCACATTTTCCTCATGCTCACAACTCTTTGAAATTCTAAGCTGTGAAATGCCGCCATTGGGACTCAACAATTTTCGGTTATTAATTCGTGTTCGTGTGAGTTATTTTCGGTCGGTTCGAAATTAATGTTGCTCAATTAATTTGCGCCACTAAACGTTTCTCAGTCTTGAGTTTTTCTTTATTTTTTCCTTCAAGAGTATTTAATTTATGTGTGGTTTGTGGTGTTCACTGACCAGCATGCTAGTTGCTGTGGGTTTCTCCTATTTTGACAGCTTATTTCGGTCACGGATCTCCGAGAGAGACAAAGCTGTTTTTGATAGGTGTGTAAATGTGCCAGAGGAAATATGTAGAGTCCAAGGGAAACGGAGATTATTTATTGGTCTTGATACATAGGCGCTTAATCATTTGTGCTTAGTTTTGGCTGATGTCGAATAATAAAATTTAAATAAGCTGGCCCACAGATCCTTGAATTTAAATGTTTTATACATTCTTTGGTCTTTTAACTTCGTTTTATGATGATTTTCAGTACATTTGTGGCCATAAAACCCTTTCTATGACCTCGGTTTAAGCACAGTTTCTTGCTAATATTTCTTTTAGCAAATTCAGACCAAAATAATGACATAATTTCGATGCAGTATCCGCCTCTTCAGTTAATTTCAGCACTTTGACTCTTCATTATGTGCCGACAATTACCCATGGATATCCATTTCAGAGCGGCGTCAGTCGTGTGTGAATGCAATTGTGAATTTGCAGTTGCGATTGCAAATGTGAAATGCATTTTTCAACACTTGCAGCACTCGTTGAAGAAGAAAAACTTCCTCAGCTGTTGCAGAGAGAGAAAGAGGAAACCTGTTAATTATCAACAATTTTGCCAGACTGCTGCGTGTCTGTAATTAGTTGCATTTTCCATTGAAAAGCTGCGGCAATTAAATATAAACACACAAAAGGCAATGGCACCACACGCATTTCCAACTGCAAAGTGTTGCCAACTTAGCGTACAAAATTATGGCCAAGCGGAAGATACCTGTACGGTATGCACCATAGTCTTAGTTTACTAGTACAATTCAAGGAAGTTGCCACATGTCAGCCGTGTCGAAAGGCCCAGCAATTAAGCCTCAAAATTGCATTGCAAATCTGCATTAATTGCCGAGTGTCATAAAGACTATGCAAAGAGAGGTGTGCCTATGGGGGATTGTGAGAAGCTCAGGTCACTTTAAAGGTAGTTATTACACTAGATCTTGAAGAATACATTACAATAGGTAAAGGTGTTGTGTCCTAAGAATGCCTAGGGGAAGTACAATAGAAGTGAGATATCAATTATGATAATAAAACAAAACTAGGCTAAATTTTCGCGGACTATTTTCAATTTATGTTCTAATTAATGAACTTCTTAATGCAGTTTTTAATTTCTAATCAAAATCAAATCCTTATCCTTATCTCTAAGATCTCTTCTTTGACCAACTTGTATTCTATCTCATCTTGGCTAGTATCTCTGATTATGTATCTCATGCTCTTTCACACACATCTTTTCGCATAAACACATTGCGATGCCTTTCGCAGCAAATTGAACTGGAAAGACCTTAGGTTGAAGGCCCCGCCCACAAAATAAAAAAAAATCCACCCACTTGCCACTTAAGCGCTGCATGCAAAGCAATTTAGCTGAAGCAGCTGCGTCCTTCCTGCGCCACGTTCCACATTCATATCGAAACAAATCCCTGGCCCGTAAGTGGAGTGAGGTGGAAACTCTGAAAACTTTACAGAAAAAAAAGAAAGAACCTATTCAGTGCACCAAAAGAAAATTGATTAATATATCTCAATTTTACAGAGAAGTATTAGTTATCATATTTATGATTAAATATTTAATTTGGATAGTATTAGGCGTATTTATAAAGTAAGTAGATAGGTAGGTGTATAGAAAAGAAGGCTGATAGATAGATAGATGGCAGGATAGATATATTGATATTTAGATAGATAGATAGATAGATAGCTAGATGGATAGATGGATAGATAGAGAGAGATAGATAGATAGATAGATAGATGGATAGATGGATAGATGGATAGATGGATAGATGGATAGATGGATAGATGGATAGATGGATAGATGGATAGATGGATAGATGGATAGATGGATAGATGGATAGATGGATAGATGGATAGATGGATAGATGGATAGATGGATATATGGATAGATGGATAGATAGATAGAAAGATAGATAGATAGGAATATATATAGACAGACAGATGGATAGATAAACTTGCAATTTATTATTACTAAATATATTTTAGGATACTTAGTTATTTAAAGAATTTAACTTTTTACAATTTTGAAGGCTTGGATACATTAATGAACATTTAATTGCAGTTTATAAATATTTACATATCAGAATTGATACATAAATTTATGAAATGATTTAAAAGACATAGTTTCTAAGACCCTTTAATTATATTTCAAAAATAAATGAAGTACTATTTTCGACCTGTGTACAAATGAAAAGCAGAGGAAAAGCGCAGAAAAAAATGAAAATATAAATAATAAAGTTCGCTTGTCAGTTTAGCAGCCATTTTGCGGTTCCACGGCACAGTTCTTCCACCTGCCCCGCCCTGCGTCTCCTGTCATTTTCCTGCCATTTTCCGCCCACCCGAAGTTCGACGAATGCTTTGCATTTCCTCCCTTTTCCTCTGGATTTTTCTCTACCTTCACTTTTTTTTGTTCTTGTTCTTAGCCTGGCACATCTTTTGGTGCTTATCCGCAATTTCTTTCCGCTTCGTACTCACCTTCCATCGTCAGACATAAACTTTTTTATGGCACCCACTGTTGTTGTCTTTGATAAATCTGCCTCAATTTGCCCATATCGAGGCAGAGGGGGGCGTGGCTGGCCTATGGCTTTATTTGCCTCAACCCAAAAAAAAACAAAGAAGAACCCAAAGAGCTCACCTCACGAAGCCCCACTTCATGAAAGACAAGTTTTATGTCAATTTTTTCTGCTTACTTAGTGGGCGGTTCGCTTAAGCCTGATTTAGCCCTCATTACACAACAAGAGGTGGGGGGCGGAGTGAAAGCGGGATTTGCTTTATTACAGTTTAATTAAATTTGTCCTGTAGCTGCTGCTCCTGCTGCTGCTGCTGCTGCTGCTGCTGCGTCTTTAGCCAAACGACTCAATTACGCAGTTAATCGTAAAAAAATCCTTGCACTGATTTGTTGCAGCTGAAACCGAAGCAAAAGGACCCTGGCTTTCAGGGTTGAGGTTGGATGCGAATGGGAATGGACGCATGTTTGGGCCATAAAACGGCGGCACTCTTGCTTCCCGGCTATTATTGCTCTTGGGCAGGATGCAGGGGTGCTGCTCCGTTATCCTGCCATCCTGCGTGGCCTCAGGTGCGCTCACTGGCGAGTTGATCCATTTATGGCCATCGTTTGGCCTTTTTTTCTACGATTTTCCTGGCATTTTCATTTTTTTTCTCGTATTTCTTCATCCAGAGGTACTTTTTTTGTATACTCGAATGGAGGGTGAAGATGTGGTATGCCGGGATTTTAGGAGGTTTGTGGTTATTTGTAGTGTATTTCAGTTTATTAAATAATTTCGATAATTTTTATTACATTTTAAATAGGCCCGAAGGATATTCAATTCAATTTAAAGCTCAGAATATGGTTTTTATGAGATTAATTGATCCCTACATTGTATCACTTGCTTTGGCAAATAGTTCCTTTATTATATTAACATTTAATAACTCTGCATGAATAAGAAATTAAATAAAGAAATGTATTTGACATACATTTCATATCCTTATACATTTTTAAAGTTCCATAATATTATTCATTTACTGTATAAAACAAATACAATAATATTCTTCGAAAGATAACAATGAATGAAGCTTCTTCTGTGCAAATAATGACCCTTTCTATACATAAATTTGTAATACTCATTTGTCAAGATTTCATACAATATTACTAAGGTTTCCATTGTGAATTTCCTCCAGTCTACTTACACAGCATTAAATATTCGACCCATTCCCTCGCAAGTCCTTTCCTTTTGTACATCATTTAAGGGATATGCGGCTAAGACGCTACATGACCGCAATGAATGGTGCTCCCTCGACTGCGTTCGTTCGTATTAATTTCTGGGCGAGATTTACGAGCGAATCTGGTGGAAAATGCAGGCAGAGCGAACCCTTTGTTAATCAAAAGGACACACGTGGGCAAATGGCTCTAGCCTTGATTACACTCACGGCTGGGGCAATTAAGCGTGTCAGGATCTCTGAAAGTGTATCCACCATAAACCCAAAACGGACAGCCCCTCTTGAACAGGCTGGGTCACGTTCCGGCTAGAGAAATGGCAATCCAATCCAATCAAATCTCTTGAGGGGCTCAAGGATCCCCCATTCCAGGGAAAAAAGCCAGCTAATGCTTAGGGAAATTGTTTACCCTTCGACTGAGGCCAATAAAGAACCACTAAGCCTTTTTAATTTGCCTATGCAAATGCCGAGTTGTTTACTTTTTGACACATGCGCGACTGTCATAATTTAGGCCGGCATTTTGGCTTCGTTCCTTCCTCGCCTTTTGTTGTCCTTTGTTTGAATATGCAAATTAGGAGGCCTGACACTGCTAATCCTTGCTAGCTGCGGCAATTATGAAGCCAGGCAAACAAACCAAACGGTGTGCAAATGTGACAGACGTTCACCGGAATTGGAAAATGGAAATATCAGCAGGGAAAAGGGGTGCAGACGGATGTAATTTATGGGAAAAAAGAGTAAACGATCGACATTTCAGCCATAAGTATTGTTTAGAAATGAAAGATTAAAGTATATAGATAACATATACACATATATTATAAAAAGTTGTTTTCAAGTTATTGAATTAGTTTTGCTCTAATATCCATTTGTATAATTAATCACACCATATTATATTGTATACATTAGTTGTACAAATAGATATTAGCGTTCCAAGAAGCTCTGACACAGTTACCAATCTGTTGAAAATAAAATTAGGCATTTAATTTATATTCTGGAATTTAGTTAAAAACATTACCAATTTCTATATACAAGTATCATCAGGAGTGCTTCTTGTAATCCCATTGTTTTTCAATAGTTTAAGGCCAACGCTCATCCCTGTACTCGCTGAGATTAAGCACCCCAATAACTTGAATAACTGTAAATTTATAGCACAATATCCTTGTTTTTAAATATAAAAAAAATGGTTAATATATTTACCTATAGGGAAGATGAAGTAGAAATACATTATAGGCGCTGGGTAGCTCATTATTTTTCCAATTCTAAAAAGTTTCCGATTGCCCTGAATGGTAAGAATAAATCAAACATATGTTAATATATTAAATGACGATTATTAATCAGTAGTTTACTAGATCGCAAATCATCTATGGCTCCAGTTTTTCAGAATTCGATGGCTTACCCGATTTATGCCTAGTAGCAATAGAATTCCAGCGATGATACTGACTATGGCAACCAATACACCGAAAATGAATTGTACTATCAAAACAACAGGCGTATCGAAAAAATTTGGCTGTGCACCGCGCAAAATACATACTAATATTAGCACATTAAGGCCTAAACAAGCAGCTCCAAAACCTATACACCAAAATGAAAAACTTCGGACACAAGACTCGGGGTCTTTATCAGTACACATCCTTCTAAAGATATCTATCTTTATATATTTTCTTAAACATATGTATTTGTTATTTCGTATTTCGAGTTATTTGGTTTATATTTCAAAAGCTCCTCGATCGGGGACAGTAGGTTTCCTATTGAACCGAAGAACGGTACGCAAATAAATACTTTTAAGGATATAGCAAAATCATATTTAAAAGTTTATATATAATCCACTTCTTTGGTTATATTCACACCACCTTGAGCAACTTCAATTAAAATAAATAACATTAGGACGGAAAGTTAAATATCTAAAGCACTTCATTGCCGTATTGCCTGACCGCCCTGTGAATCGATTTGGTTTCTTACCGGTACCGGTTCAGCCCACTTGGCTATTTCACACCTTATTTATTGACCATTTATTTGAGCCCGGCTCGCATCTCGTGCGCTTTCGGCATTTATGTCAAGCGGCTCGAATATGCCCCAAGCCGCGACTTCAGATGCTGCATCCCTGATAAGTTCGGTTCTCCAAAAGGGGGGCTGGCCACACTGGCCCACGGTTTAGTCCTCCCGTCTTGGCCTGTTCTGTCCTGTCCGAGCCAAGTTCGGGCCAAGTTTGGCCAACCGAAAACGGGCGGCAACCTGGCCGCACTCGCAAAGCGTTAATGTGAATTATTAATAAGACAAAAGGCAGCGGCAAAAGGCGGCCTCCTTTGATGCTGTGCTGGGCAAAAGAAAAAATTATAAACACTGAAAAGAAAATATATAGTGATTAATTTTTACCACTCTAAAATCGTTAAGTTAAAAACTTTTATATAGAAATTTGGATATAGTAAATTTATCAACTAGGGAATCCACTATCAAACTATTTAAGAATACTTATTACTCTTAATTATATCTTTTAACTGCATTTTTAAAGAGTCGTTTTATCTTTTTAAATATTAAAATGTTGTCTTATGAAATACATAGGTTTCCCTTGTTTCGGCATTTATTTTCACATATTTCTGCTGGGTTTGAATAGTTCTTTTTATAATTTTCATAAATTTAATTTATGTAATTAAACTTTTATTTAAACCTGAGATTTTCCTATGGTATTTTCCCTCCGTGTTGCCATAGTTTGCTTCAAACTTCAGCTGCATCCCGACTTCAAAAACCGGCGGTCTAATCAAGATGGCGTTTGGCTCTTTTGGCGCGAAGCGAACTAATCAGGCGGTGAGATTTAAAAATTAACGTGGCTCAAAGCGAGGAGCAGAGCCAAGCGGTCTCTCCAGTACCAAGTACTGTCTATATACATATATTGTGTATATATTTTGTGCAGTTTGGGATGCCTCCAATGGCTTGGCAAAGGAGGCCCGACTTTGGCATTGCAGTGAAAGTGTGCTTTGGTTTTTTGTTGTATTTTGTAGTTTGCAGCCCCGTTGATTTAGGCGCATTGCCGATAAGCAACAGCGAACACATTAAAAATGCATAAATCAATGCGATAAACATGATTTGCCGCATGTTTTATTGACTATTGTTGCAGAGACTTTTGGATTTTTCCTTGACTTGAATTGCATTGCATTTTGCGGCTTTCTTGGTCTTGGTCTTTTCGGCTTTTATTTGCTGGCACGATTATGGCCCACGGGGTTATGCCATATACATTTTTGATCTTCGGCTTTGTATCTTTAGGCTTTAGTCTGTATCGCTGGCTAATTAACATTGAAAATTGGGTATCTTTAGCTTGAAATCCTTGGGGGGTTTTTGCAGCTGCTGATTCAGTTGCTGAAATGATATAAACAATATGCCAAGACGCACATGCCCCGATATAAAGAAAAGCCACTTGATGATGCTCGAGTGTCTGTATGAAAAGCACTCGAAAGATTTTTCCGCGACTGGCGCGCAAATAAATTGAAAACTCGTTAAAAATCCATAATGCTTGAGGCGGCACTCGGAAAATGCGACTGCAGGCACACACACAGGGGCGAAAAATGATTTTCATTTCGTATTTTTTTCCTTGAAATTGAATTGAATTGAACTCCGATTTCAGGTTCCCCTCTTCTTTTTCGCTGCTGCGCTATAAATCTGGCAAGTGGCTTTTCCTTGTGCACTTGCTTAATTAATAATTTTATGGCCTTTTAATGGCCGGCCTAGCCAACAACAGGGAATTAATCAACGGCGTGATCCATTGCGCCCGGCGAATGGACGGACCCCGAGTGGGTCCGGCAGCCTGGCAGAGATCCGATCCATTGATCTTGTGCGCCACCTCCTGGTCCCTGGTCCCTGGTCCCTGGTTCCACTCCCACTCGTGGACCCAGCCAAAAGTTGGGCATTCTAGGCGCGTTTATCAGCGATAAATCTCTTTGTGTTTGCGCGCCGGCGCAAGTGAATTGAATTGAATTAAATTTTAATTAATTTTATCTGCACTTTGTGGCAAAAAAAAATAATAATAAAACACGCAGCCTCCCCGATCACTTTCCGTTCGTTCGTTGTAATTGTGGAAAATTGAAAATTACCCACCAGCCGCCAACGCCCCCCTACTTATATTTTCCCCCGCATTTCGCCATTCGCTTTGATCTCCTTTATTTCTGGTTTTTCAATTCCCGGAGAGATCGACCAATGGAATTTCTTTAAGCAAATCGACGCCATGCTTAAGCATTTTGGCAGTAAATTTCAAAAGAAATTGATAATATTCATTATGCCATCTGCAATTCGATTTTTACTTCTTTGTTTGTATTTTTTTTTGTATCTCTACAGAACAATTTGCGTAAAATTTTTATGGCTTTTGAGATTTTACGATGAATTCCTCTCTGGCTGCTTATTTTTTCTCGTTTTATTTTCTTCTAAAGGGAAAGCATTTCTTTTCCGGTTTTAAGTCATTTTGGAATGCGTCAATGGTTGGCAATGGAAAATTATTGCCCACAGAGATCGATGTGTAAATGATTGAAGGTTGCGGATTTTGGTTTTTATTTGAAGTAAAATAGGAAAGGAAATTGAAACTGAACCTAAACTTAAAATATTCAAATTTCTTGAATCGATATTTGTACATACATATTTAATTTACAATTTTTTATACAAATCAATATTTAAAAAAACTCATAACTAAGCCAAAAGGCATTAATTCGGAAAGCTGTTCTATGCTAGTTTTTATTATTTTAAAAAATCTCCATACTTAATTTACAATTTTACAAAATATTAATTTTTGCCAATTTTTGAAAATACTAAAGAGGCGATTTTAACCCTAAAAAAATGTTAAAAAAATTAAAAAATATTTTTTTCCTTCTGACATGGCTAGATAGATTTGCCTGTTGATGCTGATCAAGAATATATATGATTTATGTGATCGGAAATGACTCCTTCGCAGGTTTTTAAGCTTCTGACTAATATTATAGGGGTATAATGATGGCTTGAGGATTTTCACAAACCAAGCTTCAAAATGATTTATAAACCAAGAAAATTAGAATTTAATAAATATTTAATAAATAAGTTTCTTTCGGCATAATTATTTTTTACCTCTACACAAGTACTAATAATATTTTTCATAATGGCAAAATTCCTGAAAAAAAAACTTTATTTCATTGTAATAACATCTATCATCTGTGACCTCCTTTTAGACCATTTCATCTTACCAAATACCGAAAAAGCACCTCACCGTTTTGGCTTTCAACATGCTCACACTTTTTGGACCTTTTTCGCCTTCGAAAGCCCATTTATGTGACGCGTCGGCCTGGCCAATTGCTTTCTAAGCCAATTCAAATGTCATTTAAATGTCAAAAGTGTTCGATTCGTTAACAATGGAAATACATTTGCGTGGAGGCATTTTTCGGTAATCAGAAATCCGAATCCGAAATCGGCTTTCAGCTTTCAATCGCTGAACCGCCGACGAGCCGCTGAATGTTGAAACAAATTTGCGCTCAAATTGTCAATATGACGGAGGCCTCGATACGTAAATCGAAATCAACATGAAAAGCGCCGCTAATTGTCAAAAATTGTTGGACATTTCATGGATAAGGAGAGGGGTGCGTGTGTGTTTTGTGTCCATGGATTTATCTGCCATTCTTTTCAATTGGCCAAATGTGTGGTCCGCTTGGCTAAACGCTCTCGCTTTGATTCCAACTAAAAGTTGGGGAATATTGCGTGACAGTTTGTTGAATAATTTACGAATCCATTGGCCCCTGAATAAAAGGCTCCTAAAAGGTAATTTTTGTCTGTTTTCACGCGCACCTAAACACACGCAAGAATTTTGGCCATCTAATTGTGCGCATAACTATGCTCGGTAGCTACCTTTTTTCTATCTTTTTTTTGTGGGGGGAAAACTATTTACATAAATGTGGAAATAATTAAACATTGGGACGACAAACTTTTCACATGAAGGGAAATTGTTGTTGCTTTTTTTTGGGCCTGCAATTAGTCGGTTTAAATGCCGCATAAAAGCCAGGCCCCAGAAAGCTTGTCAATTACGCGTAAAATGTCCCATCGTCCATTGTCAGTCCCCGGAGCGATCTCCGGGGAACCCGGAACCCATCCCATTGCGCATGCGCAGCTTGGTTGGATAACTTGGCCCAAAAATTAAACACGGAATCTGATATGAGTGTATTTATTTTTTTGTGTTTATATTTATATTGTATGTACGCATAATAATTTTAATGAACGGTTCCGTCTGCCGCGGCGATTGTAATCGCGCTTAATAATATTTACAGTGGTAATCTACCCGAGCGATGATGGTGCAAGGTGTCGCCTTCGATATGCAACCTGACCACAGGCACTGAGAGAAAAGTATCAAGGGTTTTGAATTAGAATTTATTGGGGATTCTTATGATATTTAAATCAAATTAGTTTAGATACGATTTTTTTAGTATTTCCTATTATAATATTTGCAAATATCATTGATATCTTCGGGTTACTATATATATGAAAGACTTACGAATATATGTTGAGTTCCTTAACTGTCTATTTTTTGTGATTTTTTAAAGGGAATACTAAAGATTCCTTGAGATAGCTTTTGGTAAACTGTAACATAATTTAATAAAGTAAAACTGTATCTAAAATGTGAATATAAAATTCATTTTTTCCTATTTTAAAAATATTGCGAAATAATGTAATTTTTATACAGAACGACTTAGGATTCTTT